GCAGGGAACTAACTGGTGTGAGTCAAACGTCCCCCTCCCCCCGAGTGACTGCCCCCAGCCCAGCCAGAAGACCCCCACAGGTGCTGGGCACAGGAACTGTGTGTCCTACACAATGGTGCTATTCTGTGTCAAACACCTCTGTATTTTTAAAAACATCAATTGATATTAAAAAACAAAAGATTATTGGAAAGGACACATTGACTTGTGTTTTGTTCTGTTGGTTTCTATTAACCCTTGATCCTGGAGGCGTACCCAAATATGGTCCCAGAACTGTCTGCTGCCCTTTCAATACAGGATGGTGATGCCACACTGCCTGGTTTGGTAAGCACACACAACCTCATTTGTAAACTTTGGCACTTTGTAGAATCCAGAGGTGACCTGGGACCAGAGACGAAATTGAATCAGTTAGCCTTGTGCTACTGAGACAAAATACTTGACATGGGTTGCCTAAGAAATAAAGCAAGGTTCACTTTGGTTCACAGTCTTGAGGCTCAAAATGATAAAAATAATATGAAGTAGGATTAGAAAATGAGTCTTTTGTTGGGTTTGTTTACAAAATTAGGTAGTCGTACTGATTTGGACCTTCAGTGAAGACAGTGTGTCATAGCAGGAGCGCAATCAAAGCCATTGCGTGCCTCAAGCCAGGAAGCAGAGTGAGAGGAAGAAACTGAGGTCTCATGGGGCCCTTTGCGAGTCTGCCCCCTAGTGACCTGAGGACTCCACTAGGTCCTGCTTCTCAAGCTCCACTACCTCAGAGCATCAAACCTCAGCACACACACCTTTGAGAGACACTATACTCAAACTTTGGATCCATTGTTTGGGAAGACTGAGGAGCCAGAGGGATGACCTTGTTCTTGAGAATGAACATGGAGCACTGCTCTCCAGAAAGCTGGAGAAAAGGATTGGCACACGGAGATCTCAGAGTGCATGGGTGGGAGAGATGGGAGACATGGAAAGTGGGGTGGAAAAGGGGGGACAGTGGGCAGGAGAGCTAATCCCCAGGGGCCACTGAGACAAGCTATCTGGATGCTGATTTGCATCGTCTTGTAAGATTCTGGGGCAAGGACATCGGAAAGTACAGTTCTCTGTCATCATCGCCCCATCCCATTCCCCCTTGCCCCATCTCCATTCCCTAGACCTTCATCTGGATGCTGATTTGCATCATCTTGTAAGATTCTGGGGCAAGGACATCGGAAAGTACAGTTCTCTGTCGTCATCGCCCCATCCCATTCCCCCTTGCCCCATCTCCATTCCCTAGACCTTCTCTGAATTCCAGACTAGGAACGGAAAACCTCCCTTCCCCTATAGCCAGGCATCCTCTGCTTTCCAACACCTTGCGCTGTGTGGCATTCCTTCTCCACTAAAGGGTGATGATGGTGATGGTGTGTGAAGTGGGCAGGAGATGAATTCCATGACAGAAGAATTCTGTGAAACAAATGTCAAAACATCTCATAAACATGACAGCCATGCTATTCTCTGACCCCTTTACCCATCTTGCTCCCTTTGTTTGAAGTTGGCAGTTTTTTTTTTGAGAAATAAGGAAAATAAATAAGAGAATTTGGGGAAAATTATTTGCATCAATATTCAACTTGTGATGTAAAATTAATTGAATGAAGTGCTAGTGCCAGGGCTAGCTCACGGCAATCAAGGAAGCAAAATGGCAATGTGATGTTTAAAAACACAATTAGTGCTGGAAGTGTAGCTCAGTGTTGGAGTGCTTCCCTAGCAGAATGCAAACCCCTGGGTGGGTTTGAGTCCCAATGCCATACACACACCCCCCACAATTAGACTACTTCATAGGGAAAAATAAATAACACCCACCAATGGAGAGCTAGTGAAGGCAAGGGGGAGGCCCTCCCACTGGGTGTGAAACTTGTCTCAGACAGCAGGTGGCGCTGAAGAGCTGCTCTGAGTTGAGACTCAGAACTTCCGGACTCTATAGTGACCACTCTGAATGGCTGGCCTAAAGCTCTGTGGGAAGCCATGAAGTACCTGGGTCATTCCTTGTAGCCTACCTGCTTCCTTCCCAGGAAAACCTACACATAATTTATAACTGCTCCTTAGGGAATGGAGAGAAGCAGCAAGAGGGGCTAGCTGGGGAGCAGAGTGAGGATCACAGGTCAAGTGACAATGCACTGCTTGGCCTCCTGGTCCAGGGTGGAAGGTGAACACAGTTTGGATTATTAAGTCCTGGATCCCTGATGCCCCAGGAAGAGCAGGAGGTCTCTCCTGACAGAATAATGCATCGAGTAAATTCCTGAGCCAGCAGGGCTGAGTATGGTGACCTGCTGATCACCAGGGTTGATCTGGTTATTTTCCCAACTTACAATGCTTTTCTCTGGGAACATCACCATTATATCAATGAGGAGACCTCTGTACTCTAGGGGGCCCCTGGTGGTGGATTAGTATTTTTCCCTGGTGTAAGAAGGGACTTTGAGAGCCCATCCCAGGTGAAGGGATGCCCTCTTGCCCTGGACACATGGGGAAGGGCCTAGGCCCAGACCAGGAAGATGGGGTGGACTTTGCAGAGCCCCTGTGGAGGGCCCTACCACGCCTGGGGAGTGGAGGGTCGATGATGTAGGGGATAGGTGGGGGGGGCGGTTAGGAGGGGTATGGGTGTGGAGAGGAAGAAGGGATTGACATGTGAAACAAGCTTGTTCCTAATTTGAACTAATAAAAAAAAAACATAGATAAAAAACAAACAAACAAAAAAAGACTTTGGAGCAGGAACCAAATGTCCAACCTCCATTCAAGTTCCTTGGTTGCTCACTTCCAGAAAGACAATTCCTGATACTACCTGAAAGAGGTTCCCCTCTAAATAACCAAAGGAACACAGTATCTTCAAAGTAATGAATTTCATTTAGAAAGAAAAAGAAAGATTATTCTGTCTCGGGGAAACAATCTGTGGCTTGTTGACAGGCAGATTCTTGTAACAATCTGTTACATACTTTGAGCTGGAATTCCCAGGATAGTTGACCGAGATCTTAAAGGTCCTATGATGAAGTAACCAGAGTGACACAATAACTCCTGGAGATAAACTGAAGCCTAAATGGGGCCTGGTGAGCATTAAGTGGCTGGAAAAAAATGTATCAGAAATTGCAAACCATGCATACAGCAGCCTTCAACACTTTGGGAGAACATATAGGTAGGTAACTAAATGGAGATTTCTGTATGTCATGGGTCCTCAATCAGATGGCTTCATCAGCAGTGTGAGGTCAAGAGAGAAGACAGTGAAGACTGAGCTGCTGAACAACAGGAAGTAAGGCGCTTGGCTTACAAGGGTGACGACTTCAACCCTCAGAACCCACATTTAAAAACCTTACCAGGTTGGAGAGATAGCTCACTTGGCTGCTCTTCCAGAGGACCCACGTAGATTCAAGTCCTAGTGTCCACATGGCAGCTGATAATCTATAATGCCAGTCATAGGGGACCCTCCAGGGCACTGCATACAGGTGACAGACAAAATACTCATGTACATAAAATAAAAAAATGATAAAATCCTGGTATAATGGTGCTAGAGGAGACAGGCAGACCTGGGGTCCACTGGCCACTCAGCCTGTCCCACTTCATGAACACTGTGAGACCATGCCTCAAAAAAACAAGGGTGGTACTTGAGGAACACCTGAGGTTGACCTCTGGCCTCCACATGCATGAACACACATGTATGAGCACCCCCACACACAATTGACAGACCGTATGCTAAACCATGCAGGGCATCCCAATGTGAAGTTTAGGATGCTAATAATATGAGTAGATGTAAGAGTTTGCAGCATTATGAGACCACAATCAACTGTGCAAGTTTAAAAGCTTCAATTGCTCCTATTTGATATTAACTGGGTTTTACAGTAATAAAGCAGCAACTGTCACAAAAAAAAAAAGATCCAATACTAAGTACCAAAGTGAATAGCCTTTTCAAAACTGCATAGAAAACGTTTCAGAGGCTATATTTGTAAAAGAAAATAAACAACAAAACAAGGGGTGGGTAGATGGCTTACTTGGTAAAGTGCCTGTCATAGAAGCACGAGAACCTGAGTTCAGGTCCCCATCAGCCATGTAAAAACTGGGTGTGGTGGTGTTCACCTATAACCCAGCACTAGGTAGAGACAGGTGGAGACCTGGAGCTTTCTGGCCAGGAAATCTAGACAACTATGATTCAGTGAGAAATCCTGTTGCAATAAAAAAAGCAACTAGGAAGATACCTGACATCCTTTGGCCTCCACACACATGTACAGACAGACAGACAGACAGACAGATAGACAGACATACACACACACACACAAGAAAGGGAAATGGAAAAACTGAAGAAATCACAGTGTGGACATTTTCTTGTACATGGAGCATTTTTTTAGGGCATCAGTTTCTAAAACAATGTACTTGCTTTTTACTCAGACACGCCGGCAACCTAATCAGCACAATTACAGTGCTAAGCTCTGCATTTGTTAACTAAATCATGGGTATTATCAGCAAACTAATTATTGTAGTTTGAAGGTTCAAAGGGTGAGGGTAATTAGGCAAATACTGAAAATGAAGCCAAGAAAATGGGGGCAAAACCTAGTATTAAGCCCCATCGTCACCTGCTGTGGTGCAGTGGGAGACAGGAGCCCACCTCAGCTGAGCTCTGGACCTAGCCACTTCCTGCTCTGGCTATCTAGGTGATTAGAGTTCAGCACTAGCTGGAGAAACCTCCAACCTCCAACCAGATCTTCATATTTAAGCCTGAGCAATCAGTAATCCCTGGAGAAACCGCTTCATTCCTCGGCATCATTGCCTGTCATTTCCAACCTCCAGAGGGCGCTGTGTGCTCTGATCTGGAAGTGCAACCCCACCACTCTGCACATGGAACCATGAGGCTGCTCCTGGGGCAAGCAGGACACACAGTTGGGGTACCTTGTCTTTTCTTCCCTCAGCACACCCTGTGGTGTCCCCCTTAGGAAGCAACTCTTTCAAGTTCCTCTCATGGGTGCCTGCAAAGGCACACAGGCAATCAGAGACAGTGCAGATCAATCAAAAACATGGTTTATTTTTCTATCAAATCCCCAATCCATGTCCAGCCAGTGGATCAAAGGTTTATCAAGCCCTACAGTAGACTGGGGGAGGGAGGGATGTAATAACTTTGTAAGGGCAAAAGAAAAAACAAATCTTTCTGCAAAGCCCCTGGGAATTAGGAAGGGATGGAAACAAATGCAGTCACTGAGGGGCTCCTTGAAGGTCCTCTGGACGCCCCTCTTGCTGGTGCTTCTGTGCACATGACTGCAGCACCCGCACATCTGCACTCTGGTGCAGATCCTCCCTTCTGGTGCAGATCACCAGCATCCTCCCTTCATGTCACTCTGGTCTGAAAAGCTAGAACCCTGGTTCATCTCAACAACAGCCGAAGTATCTGAATTCAATTCCTCAAACTGTAATTGAGTGCTAACTATTTGCTAGGCACAGACTAGGCACTGGGCAGTGATTTTGCTGGTTCCAAGAAAAACACAAGGTGCTGAGAAGACAGCTTTCCCATAAGTGCGAAGGATGCTTTCTGTGGGTTAAGAGAACCACTTCCTCCTCTGCTTATACCATGCAGGGTCAGCACGGATGCTGGGCTGTGGGGGCAGATGTTAGCTTCCTTCTACAGGTACAGCCAGTGGAGAACTAAAGGCAGGCTCTAAACAGCTGTGGAATTCGCCCCACAATCCACATAGTGTTGTGTCTCCAAGGTGCTCTGGGACATGTGGCCAATGTATGAAATCTTCACAGAAGTCCTAGCAAAAAGAAGACCATGAAGAGACTAAACAAGCAGGAAAAACTTCTTTCTTCTTCCAAGCTGAGGGGCTAGTACTCATCTGGGTCCCAGGCACCTATCTTCATGATTATGTAACCAGGAGGCCAGTGGACCTATGTCCAAAAATGCTGTGTCATGAGGTGACGTTCTGGGTCAGCGGTTATTAACTGGGGATGATTTTACCTCATGGGAGCTTTTGGCAACATCTGGATATCTTTGGGTTAGTTACAACTGAGTGGGGCAGAGGGTGGCAAACACTCCCAGCAGCAAGTAGAGACAAGGGATGCCACTGCTAAGCATCCACAGTGTAGTCACTGGTGACCAAGAACTCCCTGATGCAAATGTCAATTGTGCCAAAGCTGAAAAGTCTCACTCAAATCCTCAGATTTCAAATGTCTGTCATCTTTACAGTTAACAGTCACAGTTCCAAGACTAGGAACTCTGTCACTGGAGAGTAAACTGGAAATACTTAGTACTTACACCTTGAGAAGGCTGGTCTGTTCTTTACTCTCGAGGCTTCTGATAGGATCACATGTTTAGTTAAAGTAGACCCCATTTCAGGCAGAACATTTCTTTTTTAAAAGCTGCTTATTTTATGTGTATAGGTGTTGTGCCTACACATGTGTCTGTGCATTACACATATGTGTGGTAATCACAGAAACCAGAAGAACATATTGGATCCTCCAAAACTGGAGTCACAGACAACTGTGAGCCGCCATGTGGACCCTGGGAATCAAACCTGGAGCCTCTAGAAGAGCAGCTCTTAACTGCCGAGAACATGATGTTTTACTATTGCACCAGGAACCTGGCAACCTATGCAGGGGCGCTGGACTCCACCTCTAGAACACCAAGAGGCTGCTGGGTCTGAGCTTCGAGGCAGGTGACGGGTCTGCTTTCAGCCACACGCCTCTAGTGAGTGTGGGAAGCTCCCAGGTGGCCCAGGCTCAGTGAAAAGCCAGAGGACAGAGGACATACCTCATGAAGATCACGATGTTGTGCACCAGGATGGCAGGTACCGTGCAGATGAAGCTGCGGACCACAAATATGTACACGGTCACTTGGTTGAAAACAGTAAAACAAGAACACAATCTCCCAGGAGAACTGGCAGGACAGTGTTGAGTTACACTGCCAAACTATTTGGGGTACTTTCTCTTCCCCATACCCACCACTTTGAACAGAAGTACTGCCAAGGACCACTGGTTCAGAGACCCTCAGTGTCATTCTCAATGTTCCAAATCATGCTTGTTTTTCAAAGCCATCATATAGTTAAATGTTAGAGTTTGCTAATGTTTCAAGTAGTTTAATGTTCTCTTTAGAAATCCCAGCACTTCAGTCACATATCAAGTGATATCTCCTCCCCCAAAACTCTCCATAAAGCCAAAGCTCAGGAGTCCACAGGCCAAATCTGGGGCTTAAGGCAGAGCTAGGGACACAGTCAATCGAGGAGGACTCTGAATCTCTCCAGGCAGACAGCACAGTACAGAGAACTCTGTCCTTACTACACGTAGGAAGATGGTCCTCCCACCTTAGCCTTCACCGTAAAATTCACCTGAAAATAAAACAAGACCAGGCATTAGCCTGTGATAAGCAAGCTTGACTTAACAGCATTACTGCTCTCAATGCACAGATGCTGGGTCATTCTCCCATCACATACAAAGCACCTTCTTGAGCCCGGGAGCCTGGAGTAAGTACTTCTGACTCCTTCCCTTTAGAAGCCTCTGGCTTCAGGCTGTAATTCCACCTCTTCTTGGTTTGGTAACTATCTTTCTTACCAATTACTTTACTATTCAAGGTCTTAAATGCTGTTTTCTGTCTGTTTCCAATTGCTCCTAATTACAGAGCCCACCAGGTCTTCCTTGGGTAGAATTGAGAGGAAAGGAAAGGAACTCCGGCATTCTACAGGGTTCCCACAGCACCGACCCTCCTTGGTATGTAGGCAGAGGCCCTTCAAAAATAACATACCAGATGCTCACTCCGAGGGGGAATGAGTGAGACGTTAGTGGTCATGTATGTGCCAACCACAGCTTTCATGTACTGAACCTGGCTGAACAGGTTGGTCACTGCCACAGGATAGAAGTTGGAGTTCCTGATTTTCAGGGTGGCCTGGAAAGGGCAAGGGAGGAAATGGGTGTTAAGTGTCCTGGTCCCAAGGCTGGCAAGTGCACAACCCAGGAAGTGAGGCCGTAAGTCTTACCATGACATCAAGCATTACAAGGGAGTCCTGTTTATTAAATGTGACTTTCACCACTTTGATGCCATTATCATCCACGAGGACTGAATGTGGAAACAGGAAGAAAAACACCAAGCCAGATGCCAGGAGACAGAGCAGGACTGACAGGAGGACATACTGTTTACTGTAAATGATAGCACAGGGTGACCAATGTTGGGCAGTCAGATATCAAAGTCTAAACTGTCATAATTAATGCAAAATGGAGGGGGTGAAAGCGAAGCACAAAGAACCCAGAACCACAAACTAAGCAAGAAGGTAGAGAACATTTGGACACTCTTTACTCTGAGAAGGGAAACTGATCCCTTTATTTCCTAGACCATCTGCTCATCTCCCAGGGCACCCTGCTTCTTCAATTCCTTCCACTCCACCCTTCCATTTGACCCTCAACATATTTCCGGCTTCACATTTCTTTTCCCAGACTGTAATAGTGAGAGTGACATTTCACTTAAGCAGAAGTACCAAAGGAAACAGCAAGGACTAGAGTATAGTGCAGGGGAGGAGTGTTCATCTAGCATGTAAGAGAGTCTGGATTCATGCCCCAGTATTACTAAAAATACAAAACAAAAGTCAAAAACCAAAACCAAAAAAAAAAAAAAAAGAAAAAAAAAGGCAGACATCTTTTTCAAATAACTAACTAGTAGTCCTTCATAAAAAGGAGTCAGGGTCAGAAACAGGTGTTAGCAGATGAGAGCAGACTCACGTTCTCTGGGGTCGCAGCCTCTGGTCACTGTGGGGGATCAAAGCCACCAATTCATTGAGTTGCTCTAGAAAAGCAGCAAAGACTCACTGTGTAAATCCCACATATTGGTAGCCCTTCTGTTCACACTTCGATGCAAACTGCCATAGCAAATATTCATCTGGGACCAGACTCTAAAGAGTACATTTTTGACTGAACAAGAAACAGGTAAATGTAGAAAGAACAAAGAAAAGAAAGCTGGGAAAAAAGAAATATAAACCTATAGAGAATGGCACAGATTGTAAGACTTCTATTAGTGTTGTCAGAACGGTGGCACCTGGAGAACCTGGAGTTGTAGTCTGGCCTTACTGTACTGTATTTGGCAAAGCCATAGAACTTTTTTAAAAGATTATTTATTATGTACACAATGTTCTGCCTGCATGTATGTCTGCAGGCCAGAAGAGGGCACCAGATTTCACTACAGATGGTTGTGAGCTACCACGTGGTTGCTGGGAATTGAACTCAGGACCTTTGGAAGAGCAGGCAGTGCTCTTAACCACTGAGCCATCTCTCCAGCCCTGCCACAGAATTTCTTAAAGCCACTGTTTCTTCACTTTTCATTTGGAAGTCTGGAGTACATGGCTTCCAAGGTTCTTAACAGCTCTAAACTCTGGGACCCCCTTCCCTCAGGGCCAGTTTAGTAACAGCTACTCCTAGAGATAATCCAGTCTCCATTCTTGAGGCTGTCCAGTCTCTCCCCACCCCTGGTATTCTGTTGACCTCATGATACTGAGTCACTGGCAGCGAAACACCCTTGTCAACAAATCCCACAGCAGAAAAAATAAATGTTTGAAACCAGAGAGGGGCCTCCACAGTAGTAACAATTAATGTTAGGGACCTGGGAAGTCTCAATGGGGCACTGTCTAGATTAGATTAGGCTGGCCAGCAAGCATGTCTATAAGTGATTTTCTTAACTGGGTTAACTCAAGTCAGAAGACCCGTTTCATAGGCTGAGTCTTCTACTGAATGAAAAGGGGGAAGCCGAGTACAAACATTCCTTGCTCTCTGCTTCCTATGACTACAGTGTGACAGGGCAATCTCAAGTTCCACTGTCCTGACTTCCCCCCAGTGATGGACTATGACCTGGAGCTGTGAAGCAGAAAAAAAAACCCTTTATCCCCTAAACTGCTTCTACCAGGGCATTTTTATCACAGCGACTCGAAAAGAAACTAAGGAATAATAGAGTAGAAGTTGTTGCTTGCTGCAGTTTCGGGCGATGAAACAGGAACCACAAAACTCAACAAACCCACATGGAGTTTATTGGAAAGGGAAGCGAAGGGGGGGGGTGTTGGCCAACTGGGAACAGAGATGGAAGGGGGAAAGGAAGAGAAAAGAAGAGATACAGAGACACAGAGAGAGGGGACAGGAGAGAAGAGGGAGACAGGAAAAGTCCGGTCTGCCCCAGGGCAACAGCAGGAAAAAAAGGATAGCGGGAAAGAGGAGAGGGCAGAAAGAGATGAACCGTTAAGTGGGTGGGGTCTTTCTTTTAAATGGGTCCTTTGCACCTGAGGTGCAGACTCCATGGAACCCTGGGCTGACCAGAGCACTGCCTGAGGGCATTCCGCCAGGTGACAGGGGCAGGCCAGCATAATGCCTGAATCCTTATAGAAGTGAAGAAAGGTTCCAAATATATGATCAAGAGAATCTGATCAAGGTTATCAGGTAGGCCGAGCTGGCTACAATTCAGGGCAGTCCGTGACTAGAAAGGGAGGGCTAGATGGAGCAGATGCCAGCGCTTTCCATGACGGCTGACAGGTCTCACCTGCTGGGACGTAGCCCGCTCCTTGGCAGGTGTGACAGGTGATACTATTTCTCCCAGTGAATTCCACATAGGGGAACTGAGCGATGGCTTCCTCCTGCTCTCTCTCAGCCTCCAAGTCCTCCAGGTTGTCATCCTTCCTCCGTTGACAAAATGTGCGGGCAGAGGAGGAATGCTGAGACCCCATGTGTCATCTCCTACATGGGGTAGGGGGAATGAGCGAGTGTTAGTGTCTATATCAGGGCCACTATAGGGGGGAAAATAACTTGTCTACAAGAAATGTAAAATACTAAGTGACAAGTTGCTATCCTAAGTGTGGGCCTGTGTGCCCAACACAGGCAAAATTCCTACTGTGGCCCTCATTTTGCAACAGCGTCCTGTGTCGTCCACTCCCCCGCCCCCCACCCCCAGGAAGCTAGGGAATGGGGCCTGCCCTCGCTGGATAAGGCCCCTCTCACTGCCTGGGAAAGCCCAGCCCCCTGTGGTCTAGCCTAGCCTCTTCCTCCCTACTGTTTGCAAACTCTGAAGGGCAAACAGGCTGCAGCCCGGAGGCACAAACAACAGGCACCAAATCAGTAAAAGGCCTCAGCGATCCCGCTCCTCCTCCACTCCCAGCTGAGGGGTCAAGCTCAGGTCCCGCCCCCGCCAAAAGCCACGTTCTGAGCGCAGTCAGGTGTCCCAGGCAGAGGGGACGCGGGCGCCCCCGGACCTGCGGCGTGGCGCACCAACTCACTCCCGGCAGTTACTCTCGGGACCACTCCTCTCTCCACCTGCGCGCTCCAGCGGCTCTTCCTCACGCCTCTCCCGTGCGCATGCGCACAATCGCAAGCGGAGGAGGCGGACGAGCGCCTGCGCCTGCGCTC